GGAAGAAACACAATAAAAAATATGTCGGATAATTTTTAGAATTGGACTATTTTATCGCATCCAAATTTTTTCCATTCCAAATGACGTGTTTTGAGACATTTGATTTGTTTCATATCGAACTTAGCCTTTTTCAAAATCTTATCGTGAGCGTTAATTGCCTTGCATGGGAAAAATAAATTTGAAAACCTTGATATAGTTTTTTTTTTATTTAGAAATGAAACTTTTCTCTATAATTTTATTTTATTTTAGCAAATTAATAGATACTAAACCCTAATATGTGAGCCTAAACTTTCACTTATGCAGGTAAAATTAAAATAGAATAATTTTCATGTTGCTTGGATTGGTTTCTTCTTCGAGTTCATCCTCATCTCCATATTATTTTTTTGATTAATAATCTTCATCGTCTTTCCTCATCTTATCGCCTCTTTTTTTTTCATCTCCATCTTTATTTTTGTTTTTTTGTATTCTTCACTTTCTCGTCTACTTGGTTTTCTTTGTCTATTTCAAAACCTACACAATATTCTTTTTCGCCAACAGATTTGCATTCGTCACCATTATCACCATTCTTTCCTTATGTCAAACAACACCGTTCTTCTGATTCAACGACCACACTTTCTTCAAGATCAATTATGTTTTTTTCATAGTATAATATATAGTAATTGGTTGAATTTTTTGTATTTTATATATTAAATCATTCTATTTGGAGAAAAAGTTTTTTTTTTAAACTTCGTGGTTCAAGCCAAAACATCTTATATTAAGAAACGAAGAGAGTAAGATTTATCCGGCAAACATTAACTAACAGCTTTTAGGTTTTAAGAACTTCTTTGTTCGAAAACTATCACTTTTTAGTAGTACTAAAAGAGTAACATTTTTTCCTTGAAAGGTGTTAGTATTTCTTGTTCATGAATACTTTAACGGTAGCAGAATGTAATTTTACTGCAGACTGATATACATACACAAATTTAAATACTATAAAATTATGATCAACCGTAAGAAAATCTTACTTCTCTAATTAAAACATAAAATAGTTATAGACGCAAAATAAACTTTGAAAAAATGCTGGTTTTTGGCAATAAGAAACCCTTATATTTATGTGTCTCAGTAAACCATAAATCCACCTTATAATAAATAATCACATGGAAACTAAAATTTTATAAAACAATATTATTGATGAGATTACAAACATTTAGCCTTTAGCTTGCTAAGAAATGTGAGAGAATTGTTTAATAAATACACAGACATCATGACTCTTTCCCGGACTATCTTGACTGTCAATGACTTCGTCGACGTCTTTTCAAACCCATCAAGACATGTGTTATCCGTGAGGACAGAGCTAAGTCACATGGCAAGATCACTCATCTCTTCCGTGAGGGCTCTATGTGTCCAGAGTATGGCTAAAGACTTAAGGAGATTATCGAGTCTTGAAACAATTCTCGACAATCGGACAAAACGATGCGCTCGCGTTTCCCAAATGCGGAACGCCGCGTCTTGAGAAGGTATCTAAGGACGTCTTTGTTGTCATATCAACGGAAACTCCTTCACGTGCCCATTTGCTTGGACTATTAAAGCATTGATGAAATTTTGTAAACCATTTTCTTTAGCAAAATTACTTTCCAGAACACGCATTAATCATAAAAATTTGCAGCAAGCACTTAATGACTCCATGCTTACACTACTGAGAAAACATTCAAAACAGACTTTTAGGCAAGATATATTAATCGCAACATGCAATATCTGCTTCCAAGTGCAAAACGGTTGTTAGAATAAAATTTAAGCTTATAAAGTTTTATCTTGTTGAAGAACCAATATGTATGCATAACACAAACCAAAAGAACCTGAAAATACCTTCAAAAAGAAAAACATACAAAAAAAAAATCAGAATCGATCAAGCATGAAATATTTCGACAATAAGAGTAAAAAATATTTCTGATTCTCAAGTTTCTTACATTCGTTAAGCATCTTTCGATAGATTTTTATCCTTCAATGGTAAAACCCCTAAATTCCTTCTTTTACTCGCAATCTCGGTTTTGTTATCTTTCAAGATGAAACTATAATCTTTGTTTTTCGCGTGCAGGTTCTTCACCTTACAGATAGATTTGTCAACAACCGGCTTCTTCATCTTGAATTAGATGCTTGTTACAATATTCGGTCGAGCTTACTTCTAAGTTTGTTGAAAGATTTCCCTAATTTACGAGCTCTCAAGCTCAACAACGTAAGATCACAATCTCTCTTCTTAGTAATCTTTTTTTGTAAAGTTTTGAATTGATCTAATCCAATACAACATTGCCTTTATGTTTTTTCTCAGACATATCCAAAATATATCGACGCTCAACCGTGTTTAGCCTCTGAACTGATTTCTGTTCCTGAATGCTTGAGCTTCCATCTCGAGACTCTTCAATGGATAGACTATTCAGGAACACATGGAGAGAAAGAAGTTGCGGTTTACATTCTAAAAAACGCTCGTTGTTTAAAGACCGCTACCATCTCTCTACGTTCAATGGCCATAGAGAATGATCTGATGATCAAGGAGTTGAAATCTATGTCTAAGGCTTCAACCTCATGCCAGCTTACAATTAAATTTTAGAACGTTTTTAGAGAAATGCAATTTAGATATGGAGGATTTTTCTACTTTTCCTGGTTAGTAAAAAAGTATTATTAGCGTTTAGAATTATA